TGAGAGATCCGAATGGATTTTTCATCTCGTGACATTATAAGGGGCCGTCCATAAATGACGTCACGCGATTTTGGACGATTTTGACCCCCCCCCCCGTCGTCACACGGCGTCACAAAAAGTCAGACCCCCCCCGTTCAAATATGACGTCACAAAGCTCTGCCCCCCCCCCCCCAAAAAAAAGATATAAAACATGCTTCAAATCGCTTTAAACTATTGTCATTGTAGTGCGTATTTAATGTGGCGCTGCACTGTGATGTAGGAGAAAACATTTATTAAAAAGTCAATTTAATTAAGTAGAACGTATTTTTAGTTCTTTCGGTAAAGTCACGTTGAAGGGAAACAATAAAATAATAAATATATATAAAATAAAATTCTCACGACGTTTCGACCATAACACAAACGGTCGTCATCAGGTTTTATATATATATTTTATTATTTTATTGTTTCCCTTCAACGTGACTTTACCGAAAGAGCTAAGAATATGAATTACTGCAGTCACGAAAGCTTTAAATCAAAATTTAAGTAGAACGTGTTGTACGTATTTATTTAAAGTTGCGCATTTTGATGTGACGTCACATTTCTCAAACCCCCCCCCCTCGTCACACATCGTCACAAATGTCTGACCCCCCCTCTCCCCCCTAGTATGCGTGACGTCATTTATGGACGGCCCAAAAGAGCATATTCAGGATACAATGTGGAGCAAATATTAATGTTTCATGCGATATACCCAAGCAATGAACCGAATTGATCGTATCACCTTCCACTCACTCCACTGAAACAGATTTAAACTCACTATGTCGATCAGTTCATATCTTACTTGACGTTGTCCCCAGCAAATTACGACTTCACCCAAAGCTGCTTCTGATTGGCTCTTTGAACGGAATTGTTATCTATAGAGCTGATTGTAAATTGGGCAAAACGTGCCTTAATACGGGAAACCCCAATTTGGTTCGGATAAGTGGAGGTGATAAGGTTCATTTGCATTGCAGAAGGGTCTTAGATTATACGCATCCCATATTTAAACATAAACACCACTGACACATTTATTTTGTATATTCACTTTCATAATAGGAATGTATTAATCACAGCAATAATGCCCCTTTTAAAGGAAATCCAAGACAAAAACAAAATTCCCTTTGTGCCCATTTCTTCCTTCCCTTCACCATACCATTCCCCATGATTGATGTCGATGGTTTTGCCCAGAGTAGGGTTCAAGAGCATACCATACTTATTGCCAATAGCAACAATTTCAAACTAACAGTACAGCCACCATGCTCACTACTGCTATTCTGTGATGATGAGTCCTAATAAGGATATACCAGCCCACAATAATTTATGCATCACTACCGCCGATACGTCATATTTGCTCAAATTTATTTTGATAACCTCAGACAAGAGGACCACAATGCACTTATTTAGGAACTGGTTATAGTGTTTTGCATATTCAGTAGCTGTGTGCATATTACGTGTTTGTGTGTTGTGACTAACAGAAATGCCACGTTACGTTAAAATGTGGTTCAGCCTCAGAAAGCCCTCTAAAAAATATATTTAAAATGTTTATTCAATAAGCAGAGCTGATGGTCAAGTTAATTAATCATACTACACTGGGTAATCAGTTTCAAATGTTATTAATTTAAGCAGATTACAGCACGCAGATACATTTTTTTTTGTAATGGATTATGGGAGCTGCACTTTGTATACCCTCTATTTGTTCAGGGTTTCCTTTGCTGGAGATTGCATATCGATGTGTGGTTCATTAAGGGCTTGGTCAGTTGTTTAATTCACTAACCAGTCTGTTATGTGGCTGATGAACAACAGCTAGCATAGTTACATTCAGTATGATGCAGCTGAATGGTGGTGCCTTCACAAACGTAAATCTTTATTTACAAATGACTTGGCTCTCCAGCAGAAAATGTTCGTTCAAATAGCTCAATTATCACTCTCCAACACAACAGCAGGCAACGTTCTTGCTACTTATAACTCAATGATTATGCATGGGGGGGGGGGGTGTTTAATGCCTAGGTGTTATCAGAAAAAAAACCCAGCAAAAATATTCCATTCCTAACAAAATCCATACAATTTTTTTCTTTCTAAAACACAGGTAAAATGTGTAGCCGTAATTAAGTGTCATTGTTGTTTTAAGTAAACCAATTTATTGGTTATTGAGATCAACTCAAGCACATATGTATTTGTGGATTGACCTATTGTCAAGGATGTTACAATAATTATTTACTGTGGTTTTTAAGCAGAGTAAGAATTTGATCAGTCTCACTGTTGAGTATTCTGTACAATTCGCTATGTGAGATAAAAGGTGCACCTACGATTATCTTGGTTGGCTATGTATGGTGCAAAAGAAATTCAACATACATACAAGTCACCTCGTCAGCGTTATCGTGTTCACTGCCAATTTCTCAGATGACAACTTGCTCAGTAACAGTTAAACCCATGCACGAGACTTGGCATGCGCATACAAGTTAACATTTCAAACATTCATTACAAAACCCTAAACTTCACAAGGTCTAATTATAGGACGTATTAGTCACACTTTGATAACATTTTAAAAAAATCTCACAAAATAAAAAATATAAAAAAACCATACGATATCAATGTAGCACAATTACTGTATTTCACAATTATGTTCACAAACTCCAAAGTTTGTAATACATCATGCCCTAATGTGACAGCACTTGAGTAATCACAGCTGAACCTCAGGTGAGCTCTTTATAAACCATCTTCTTTCACTTGTTTTATGGGCAATATTTTGACAAATTTACTTGACAGACATCAGCAGACCTGACTGGAACATCAAATTTCATAAAACACCAAAAGCCCAAATTATTTAACAGCCTTTGCACAACACAACTCAGACTCTACCCTTTGACCCCAACTCCCATTTGTCATTTTCCTTTTTCTCAAAATGCCAAGGCATGGTGTGTGCCATCTTTTTTTGTTTCTGTATTACTCTGCCCTTATTTGCCAATAATTTCTTCAGTTTAAAAGCTCAAATTAAGTGTTAAATCAAATGTGCACAATTGTTTTTTTATTTACGTGCAGTCACTGATGATCAATCTAAGGTCATCAGCTCAGCATACATGATACCATGGATTAAATCTCAAAGCGATTTCATGGATCTTAACTCAGTATCTCTGATGCTAGTTCGTTGCTCCGGCATGGGCATCATAAGCCTCCCTTGCAGAGCCACACATTAACCATAATCATTTTCATAAACCTCATACGTTCATAATTTCCACTCTCCCATGAACAACACAGAACCTCATGCTGTGCAGTTCAAGGATGTGGTTTCGCAGTGACATGAGAATTTGATGTGCGGCATGAGCCATGTGTTTTACGAAGGTTTTAAAAAATATAGACGCTGGTGCACATTTATTGCATGTTTTTCATCATTGTGCGTTTTGCGCTTAAGTAAAAAAAAAGAGCAAGCACACACCAGGGGAACAGCGCTGAACTCACAGATACATGTTACAGTTTTTGTGTTTAATGTCCATCGTGTAAATTTATACCAATCAAAGTAACATCAGTTTTATAGTTTGTTAAATATTTTAAACCGTAACAAAACACAACCATTTAATATGAATGTAAGGATTCAAAAACATCATCTTCAGATTTTGTCTTCTTAGTTTTTTTTATAGTATTTTGTATAATTGATGTCACAAGTGAAAACAGTTTGCGGCAAGGCAATGACGCCGCGAATGATTACACATCGCCGCTCACACACCTTCCTAATGCCCTTGCTTTGTCCACCTTCCCACACTCACAATACTCCGGTTTTCCTCACTGGTCAACTCATGGCCTATCACTGGATGCCCTATTTTATTAATCGACATCTCCTTCTCCCTCCTTAACCAAAGTCCTAGCAATCGACACTTAGCAAGGCTCCATTTGGCAGGACCTCATCGTGAAGAGGTCATCGTGGCCGATGCCGTCATCGCACCTGACCATCATTTTCTTCTTCTAATACTGTACTTTACGTACTGCTTGTATTGCAAGACATCGCTCGTTTATCAAATGATTATTTAAAAATTTTGCTCGTCTTGCAAAACACTCGCAGACCGAGTTACTCGCAATCCAAGGTTTCACTGTATATCCATCAAGTGTTGCAAAGTGATAAACCAAACTCCAAGGCCCACTCTTTTTTCAGTCTCGTCACCACCACCATGTAAGCTCAACATCTTATCCTTGGTTTCCGACCTCTTGGTGTCACTCATATGTCCGACATTGTAACCTACCTCATAATGAATAATGTATCTGACAGCAACATTCTGAATTTGTATTGCAATTATCATTTATTCGGATTTTATCTCCAATTATAACACATAACAGTGCCTTGCTGCGTAGCTTCAATGGGCTCCAAGTTATGAGAACACAAATTTAAGTCTTGGTCAGTGTAGACTTCTTCTTTGGTTCTTTCGGTAAAGTCACGTAGAATGAGAATAAAATAACACTATAAAATTCTCACGTTTCGGCCACAACACAAGTGGCCTTCTTCAGGTGAAAGGAACAAACCTGTCGGGACGACAGAGCTTCAATGAACGTTGTTAAGATTCGTAGCGTCTTTTAAGCTGGTTTAGAGAAGTGAGGCACCTTGACAAAGGGGTTTACATATCAAACATGAGAATTTAGCATTGAAATAGCTGAGGGATTAGCTTGTGACTGGTCACAGAAATGGCTATGGCCGAAACGTCGTGAGAATTTTATTGTGTTATTTTATTTTATTATTTTATTCTCATTCTACGTGACTTTACCGAAAGAACCAAAGAAGATGAATCCTTGCAGTCACGAAAACTTTAAATCGAAATTTAGTGTAAACTTCATCGTCAACCCAAACAAGGTTTGGAAAATAACCACTTGGTGGAAATTAAACAATGAATGTCCAATAAGGAAACTTTTGGCTCAAATAGAAACAGAATTCCAACACCAGCTCGGGACTGACAATTGGCTTTAGTACTACTTAAAATTCACTCAAATACGAGGACACGGGCTGGGTTTTGAATTTTAATACTGGTTGTGCCATCAGCCAAAGCATTAGGAGAAGTGATCACACTGGCAACTGTTGACAATAAAGAAACATTGCATCACTATATTTTGGAGTGAATTCCGAAGGAACCACAATACTACTTCAGCAGCCATTTCAACAGGCTTTTCACCCAACATTAGATGACATTCCTTCATGCCATGAATCACAACTTGCTCTATGTTAATCATGGATATGATGCAATTATACAAATTTTGAGTTTAAAAAGTGGCCAAGCAGAATATATCGGAAACTAGATGTTAAACAAACTTTTTAACAAGAAAATCTGATTTTATATTTATGATAGAAATTTAGCATTCACCCTCCAAACCACATTTATTGTAAGAATTGGGTCCTAACATTAACTTAAAAACTCTAACTGATTTTAGTGACCAATAATACCACCACTGATTTTGTAATTAAAAGCCTTGTTTATTGAACATTAATTCTGAGTTTTCTCTGCTCAGCAACAAAGTATCACATGATTTATGCTTTCTAAAGATGTGACAATATGTATACTTTTATCGTAGTGCTTTAAGTAGTTTAGGCCAGTTTACTGCACTCTAAAGTGTTTAAGACTTCCAGCCAAGTCAGGTTAATTTAAACATGGATATGAACACTAATTAAAATAATAAAATTCATGATATTATTCTTTAACAATACTTTACCTTGTAATTAAATTGTATTTAATATTTTATTTTAAACACACATATATTCCCTTGGGTCTTTTGGTAAAGTCACATAGATAGGTTCAAAGAAATTATTTATTTTTTTATTTGAACCTATCTACGTGACTTTACCGAAAGACCCAAAGAATATGAATTCCTGCAGTCACAAAAGCTTTAAGTCAAGATTTACATAAACTATATTTAATATCGTGCAGCATATGCAATCAAGGCTTGACTACATTCATAGGCAGATAGCAGTGCCACCTTCATAATGCAGTCATAGCATCATATTTAGCTATACTGTGCTGCCTGAAATATTACCTTCAATGGCAGTAAAGTTAAAAATGAGAAAACATTTATTATACGTCATTAACACTTCAAAATAGTTTTTTTAAAAATTAATGCTCTGATTTGGCGAGCAATAATATTCCCACCCTTCTCAACCTCCTGCTAAAACACATGCCAGGGAAGAGTCAGGCTTAACGTGGTTGGGTAATCTCTCCTTATCCTCTGCTGTTCCTATTGTCTGAAAACATTTCCATGGCATTTTTATACATTCCACTCTCTCAGACTGTTAATATCCAGATTAAAAAGCTCATCACTTCTCTAATGAATACATATGATTCATATTCTTGGTTCTTTCGGTAAAGTCACGTAGAAGGGAAGAACCAAGAATATGAATTCCTGCAGTCACGAAAGCTTTAAATCAAAACATATGATTCACTTAAACATCCCTTCAAATTACCATCACATCACCTACCAACCCCTTCTAAATATTACATCAGAAACCGTTTTATATATTTCTTCATTAGGCATTGCTTTCTAGAGCCATATTTTACCCTATTAGAAATTAAAAAATTCTGCACAGAACCTAGAAAGAGTAATACTTTTTAAAAAATATTTGTAGAAAAGACTCAGAGTACAAACATCTATTTTAGGTGGTTGCGGATTGGGATGTTTACATTTATTTTAGGTTGTTGCATGCAAAAAGGTAAACTTGAGTGGCTCAAAATAAAACCAAGCGTTCATGAGAACTCGCAAACTCCACTGTATAGACAGCCCGTCTGAAACCTACTTGCTGGATTTCCAACGACAGTCACCACCTCTTTTCCCAGGAGGTGGGCCATCTCATGCACACCATCATCACGATGGCTCAATGCAATGCAGGACTCCCATCCCTTTATGATTCATCAACCCAACCTCCACATTCCAACGTTTAACAGACATGCATTTCTACCACAGACAGCAGCAAACGATATCAACTCACGTCCTCACGTCCTGTCAAGGGATCCGCTTTCCCCATCGCTTACTTACAGCCAAAACATTCGAACATGCCTTTCATTTACTTGGGCTGTTTAGTTGTTGAAAAGATGCATGGCATTCTTTTTGACAGTCAGGGGCTTGTTGGAGGACGGGTTGAGGACGGCCGTTGCGGTGTGGGGTCGTGACTTGAGGGTGGGTGTGCGGGAGATCATTGGGGTGGGCCGTTGAGGAGTGGGAAGAGTGAAGAGCCATTTGTGGCGATGAACCAAGTTGTTACTTGAGGGTTGAGACGACATCTCGGAAGATGTTCAGGAAGATGTTGGCATGGATCTCGGTGAAGATTAGGCTCGGGCGGAAGCGAATAGACATGTCCCCACAACCACCCAGCACCACTCCTAGTAACATGCACACCAAAACAAAGATTCCACAAAGCCATATATTCGGGATGAGTTGCAGGTTTATAAATATCAGACTTTTAAGGACAATTTCAGATCTTTTTCAGGTTTTCGGATAATTTACAGTGTACCACTTCAAAATGTGCTCAGCACCATTGCAGGGGAGTGTGTGTAAGCACGCAAAACAACGGGCGCCGCTACACCGTGAAGGGAAAGGCGAAGGGGAGCGTGGTCATAACCTGAACATGCGGCAAGATACATGGGCACACAATAGGCCAATTTAACAAAAACATAAATGCTACACAAAACACTACACTCGAGGTTTAAGGGCAAAGATACGCTAAGCTAGCACACGTCTAACCTCGCCTGTGGAACCTCGCCTGTGGAACCCCACACGCAGAATTTGAGATGAAGGGGGTGTGACCCATAGGCATCTTTTAAAAGGGGGAGTAGGGAGTGCCTCAGGAAGGCAGGCGTGTTAAAGCCTCTGCGAAGTGGAGCCCTGATCGGAACCGACCACACAAGGTACCGACTGTGTGCCAGGACGAATGAAATGTAATCAGGGGATCTTCATCTCTTGTGCATGTGTTCATGTGTATGTGTTCATGTGTATGTGTTCATGTGTATGTGTTCATGTGTATGTGTGCACGTGTGTGGGGAGCGGTAGTGTAGCGGTTAGCGCGCTGGGCTATAAACCCGGCAATCCGGGTTCAATTCCCTCTCACGGCCAACACCAGTCACGATTATCTGAACCGGTCCCGGGCCTCCCCTAGGTCGACTCAGCCTCAAATGAGTACCTGGTGCGGTGTGTAAACATTGCCACTAGGGAGACAAAGGTGGCCGGGCGTGGTGCTGGCCACCCACCCCCTCGTGTACCGTTCCGGCCTTCATAGGTGCTCGCTAACTGCACTTGCCCCTACAGTCTGTTGTTAAGGCTATACGGGGGATCTTTGTCTTTGTGTGCATGTGTATGTGTGCACGTACCTTTATTCCTTGCTAGTAGCACTGCCTTGTTACGAGTGTCCTCATCACGAATGTCGATGGCACAAAATGTGCCCCGTCCTCGTGCTCGACTGAGTATGTTCGGGAATTCATTCTAGAGCGGCGAGAGAGGCACAGTTAGGGTCCAGTTGTGCGATGGTCAGAGGTCTTGGGGGTTTGGGTGGTGGCAAATAACAGTGTCATATGTTGGATTGCATTGCAATGGCTTTAGTCGCATTACAAGTGAACCAGAAAGTGAACCTTCTCATCTAATTATGTCTTTCTACGCAATATATTTTTAGATTTAGATTTACGATTTGTATATAAAAAAAAACTGGAACCGAGTTTACCATGGTAAAACATGTCGCATTTTGCATCGGGCATGGGTGGTGGCACAACGGTCAAGGGAAGTAACCAAAAATACAAAGAGGCCCCCCCCCTCAGAACTGTAAAGAGTCCTGGGGCCCCTATGAAACATAATGTGGCCCCACACGTGGGTGTGAACGATCGCTCTACCTGCAGGTCCGTGAGCCCACGCAGCAGAACGGAGCCCGCATGCTGCACGTTGTCCAGGAGCCGCTCCGCACGCACCACCTTCAGCACCTCCGCCAGCATCAGCGTCTTGCTGGGCTCCCCCATCCACGTGTTGTAAATGCGATACGGCTACATAAAGACAAAGATCCCCCGTTTAGCCTTAATAGACTGCTGGGGCAAGTGCTGTTAGCGAGTGCCTATGAAGGCCGGCACGACACACGAGGGGGTGGAGTGGGCCAGCACCACGCCCGGCCAACTTTGTCTCCCCAGTGGTGATGTTTACACACTGCACCAGGTACTCATTTGAGGCCGAGTCGACCTACGGGAGGGCCAGTTCAGATAATAGTCACTGGTGTTGGCCGTGAGTGGGAATTGAACTCAGGTCGCTGGGTTCGTCGCGCAGTGCGCTAACCGCAACACTACCGCTCCCCACTTAGGCACCACAACAACCACCAATTGCCACTAACCGGCGGTGATGTCACCACGGCGCTTGTGCCAGGCTATGTGCACTGTAAGGCCAAGTGAAGTGTCGAAGGCTTGCTGGCAGGAGGTCACGAGACAGACCCAGGTGCCATGGGTTAACTGAGATGACTGGCAGATGCACCACTTGTGCCCCCTACTGTGCCAACTTGCTGTGTTTTAGCCACCCGGCGCTGCTCTGCCCACCGTTGTTGTTGTAAGGTGACTTTTCGGTAGCGTCTTCATGAGCCTCCTCCACAGAGACCGATCTTGATACCGCTGGTACCAGTCATCGGCAAGTCCACTCAGCTCCAGATCCTCTTGTACCACATCACTCCATCTCTTCTCTAGCCCGTGCCCATTTAGCCACTACATGGCCAAGCAGCAGAAGCTGCCCAAGTATGGGAACTTCTCCACTCTATCCACAACTGCCCAATCACTCATGGGAAGTTGAGGGGTGCGTTTGATAACATAAAATATCCAGGCAATTGCTTTGTTTTTGTGGGGCTGATGGTAAGGCCCCATCTCTTAGATTCATGCTCCAGGTTTAGCAGTAGCATCTCCAACTCCTCAGAATGGGCAGCAATAACCAGATCATCCACATCCATAATATGGTTGACCAAGAAGGAGCCATTCCTTGACCACACTCAAGCATTGATCAGCCTCCCATTGTATCTATACCAGATGGAAATTCCACCACTACATCCATAAAAAAGCTTCTCGAACTACATGGTCAAGGAAGATGTTAAATATTGTAGGGGCCACAGGACATCCCTGTCGCACCCCAAGGTGAACAGAAAATGGGTCTGACACCATCCAACTTTACTCGGACCTGCTCACCATGATGAAGATCCTTAATGATTCCAAGAAGATGGTATGGGGCTCCAAAAGCGCAAATAATAACCCAGAGCCCTGGCCTATTGATGGTATCATAGGCCTTGACCAGATCAACACAGATGCACATATATGAAAACACCCACACACACCAATTCTGTGCGGAGTTCGTCCTTATAGTAGAAGCCGCCCGTGAGCATCTTCTTGCTGAATGTGACGACATCGGGTGGGTTCTCCAGCCCCCAGTGCTCATGTGCCCAGAAGAGGCCTGTAGTACCAGCCCCAGTCTGCACCTCGTCGCACAGAAAGGCTGCCCCATGCTACACACACACACACACGAGTATAAAGATCTCGCACACATAGCCATAAATGCGGCTTATCTGGATCAAGTGATCTAAGAGATCAACTGTTAAGGTAAAAAACACATACCCCCACATAGACTACACACACAGTCAATGGTTATGCACACACATTCGTACACTCTTGTGTGCACACAAACACAGATGCACACAATCATGCAAGCAAACATGTGCATGTTAGAATGCATACATATCCAAAAAAAGACAAAAAATCCCCCATAAGTGTTGTTAGCGAGCACCTATGAAGGCCAGCATGGCACACGAGGGGGTGGGTGGGTCAGCACTGCCCTTGTCTCCCGAATGTCAATGTTTACACACTGCACCAGGTACTCATTTGAGTGTGTGAATCGACCTTGGGGAGGCTCAGGACCAGTTCAGATAATCTTCACTGGTGTTGGCTGTGATTGGAAATCGAACTCGGATTGCCGAGTTCGTAACACAGCATGCTAACCGCTACACTATGTATCCACACACAAACACAAATTCATTTTTTCACTCGTGCACATAAATGTGGTAGCAGCACTGTAGCCACATTTCAAGTGTTTGTACCACAGTGCAGCCCCATTGCTATATCGTGGAATTGTAGCCGCCATATAAGCAAACGATTACGCCCATTGTTGAAGATTGTCCATGCAACAAGATTTGTGGCAGCTTGAGGACATCGCATTTTGCATGTAATGAAGTTGCTGCCTTGCTCGGCATAAATGCTAAATAAATTGGCAGCCCTGAGCCTGGAGTGGAAAATCCACAATTTCTAATGACAGGTGCCAGTCCACCCATAAGATTATAAAAGTAGGACTCAGTTCTGTGTCTCGACATATAAAAATATACATCCGAGTCTATCAGCCTTTGGGCTTTCCATATGAATCTCATCAAATCGCATTTGTTTAAGCAATAAAACTGTGGACAGGTTTTAACCTTCTCTGTCCCATCTGAAGTCAATCTTTAAACATAAATGCTACTGGCTAAACATATGCTTTTAGCAAGAGCATCTGGCAGAGGGATGATGGTAATTTGAACATTTAACCTTTAACTGCGAGTTGAGCTCTCGAAACACAGCGCCACCACACAAGAGCCAAATGCAAGAGCTGTAATCATGGCGAACCTTAGCAGTGAGTGCGCGCAACTTGCGGAAGAAGTCGTCCGAAGCGTGGTTGTCTCCCCCCTCGGCTTGTATGGGCTCCACCACAACGCCGGCAACAGGACGGCCTTTTCGTGCAAACTTCTGAATCAGATCCTCAACCTACATTGTGGGAATCGTCTAGTTTAAGGCCACTATGCACTCAGGCAATCACTGCCAGCAAGTCACTGGCAACATGACATGGCATATTTTTACAATTTATGTGCAGCCAATCAAAAGATGGCTTGTTAAAGAGTGTGTTTGTGCCTGATATTCTGTTTCAAAAATAATGATTTGTCTGCCGAAAAAACGATTTTGGGTAGACATGCGACCTGTGTTAAGTAAAATCACAAGTACATTTGGTATTCGAGGTATTGTGAAGGCACAAGGCTATCACGAAGGCACTATGTTTCACGAACAATTATAATCTGCAGTAGTTTTATAATAGGAGGCGATGTTGCTATGTGACTTTACAATGAGGTAATTTGCAAGTAATTTTCTAAATTGTCAATTTATGTTATCGTGATGCTGCCAACATGCAATCAGGAGTTGAAATCCCATTGCTCACTACGGGTAGCTGCGATCCTTTTTTTTTTGTTACAATAGAAAATTGCTGTGGATGATTGCAACATAATTACGTGAGTGCATCATGGTTTTTGTACAGATTAATCAATGGCAACAGGAGAAATTAGTAAATGGATAATAGCATTTCTCAGTGTTAGAATTGTAATGGTTAATGTAACCGAATATATAGCTATTCTTTGTAGACATGCATGTAGTTGTGTGCTCCAGGGCGTTAAACATAAGGTGAGTGCTTCCTAATAAAAAAAAGTTCTCCTGTATTTTTAAGAAACCGAATCTCGGGCACACTACCATAGTGCCTTCTAGTGATGTCAATAGAACATGACGATCCCTTTTGTGCATTACGTCATCAACTGGAAGTCTGGATTTTAATGCTTAAATATGCATTCAATTGGTCACAGAAGTGGATTTCAATTATTGCACAACTATAGACCGATACTGTTTTAAATATTAACCAACACACCACTCAAAAAGTTAATTTATTGGCCGCGTCTTCCTGTGTGCAAGTGAGAGTGCGGTATGCGTGACCTCAGCCAGGCAGCGCGCCTCCTCACTCGCGTTCTCCCGGGAGTGCTCCTCCAGCGGGTACTGGAGGCGTGGGAAGGGAGCGATCGGCCAGTCCAGTGAGGGGATGTCCAGCTTGTGGATCGCCTTGGAGTGCGTCGTAGCAAGGCAACCTATGGCACAAACAAAGGCAAAGACCCTCCCAGTATAGCCTGAACAGACTGTTGGGGTCGGCACATCACTCGAGGGGGTGGGTAGCCAGCATCAGGCGCACGTTCGTCTTTGTCTCTACAATGGCGATGTTTACACATCACACCAGGTACCCATTTTAAGGCTGAGTCGATCTAGGGGAGGCCCAGGACCATGTTGGTTGTGAGCAGGAATTGACCTCGGAGCTCCGAGTTTGTAGTACATTTTGCTAACCACACACATGCATGGTCACGTAACACGCTAATTCGTTCACTAAGTTTTTAGCTAGCTGGCCAGGATTGGGCAAAAATGTTGCCCATTTTTCACCGAGGCAATCGGGGAGTACAGACTTAGGTATTTCTTAACTTACTACTAAAACAACTATATATTTAATAACCCACAATTAAAAAAATATGTATATATACTGAGGAATTACAATAAACAATGTTTAACTTAAAATATTGTCAATGATTCTCAGTCTGGGACACTCTTCCAGTATCCAACAAAGCTATTAAAATACCATTCCAACCAAGTGATCTCCAAGAGGAAAATAATTGCAATCTAAATGCAGTGCTTGAATGCCATCTATCTGGGTGTGTACAATAGGTAAACTTTACCTCCAAATGATACACAATTGTATTAAATACAATATTCTGTATATACAGGGCAGAGTTCCTCAGATAGTCATGTATCCATTCCGAGGGTTGTAGATCCATTCTTAACATTTTTAAGTTTATATTCTTGGTTCTTTCGGTAAAGTCACGTAGAAGGGAAACAATAAAATAACAAAAATATAAAACAATATAAACAATTTTATTGTTTATATATAAAATTGTTCATATTGAAAGCTTTAAATCAACATTTTAAGTTTACTTATTATGACGGGATGAACCACGAGGTCAAAGGCTTTATTAGATCAATGAAGGCTGCAAATGCTACTCCCCCATTACCAAGAGCTTCTTGGAGACCAGCTACGAAATTAACAAGAGCTGTTTAAGTGGAATGTCCCTTTTTTAAACCTGATTGGACACCTCAAATGAGTGAAAAATTTGCCCAGATGCCCAAATCATTGCCGATTTAATTTGCATTCTAACATCTTGCTTCAAAGTAGGTAGCAATGTGGGTGAACATTAGCATGACGAAATTAACGGAGGACTGTCCAACAAGAGCTTAAGTGGATGCCTTGTTTATAGTCACACTGGTGATCATTTGCAAGGAGATGCAACCCATTTTGAGAGGAAGGTGCAGACCGTTTCACATCAACGCTCACTTACCTATGGTGCGGCCGTGAAAACTACCCATGAAGGACAAGATCGAGAGCTCAGGACAACCAGGGGACTGCACACACAAAGACAAAGACCCCCCCCCCATGTAGCTTACTGTTGGGACACATGCGGCTGACATAGACTGTTTGGCAAGTGCTGTTCGTGAGCACTTATTAAGGCTCAAACAGCACACAAGGAAGTGGTGTGGTCTATGCCTTTGCTTCCCAAGTGCTGACGTTCACACACTGCACCAAGTACTCATGTAAATCCGAGTTAACCTTGTGGAGGCCACTTGCTGTCAATGTTATCTGTGGCCCTGTAAATGTATCAGAAAAGACCAATCACTGTACCACCACATCCCACCATAAAGACATGCCCCAGAAACTGCCAACACATCACTCCAAAACACACAACACCTCAATCCCTGGTATAACATGGGTATTTCATATAAAATAAATCATACAATCGGTATCGCACTAGTTTGATAGTGCTCTCACAAAGGCGTGATGTTTCAGTGGGGTAGTCTGCCATTAGGGGGCGATGTTGCTACGTGGTTTTACCCAATTAGGTATTTTGTACACGGCTTACACTTTTTCGAATGTCAAAAAAACATTTACGGTTCACTATAAAGCAAAAGGTGTGTATTCTATGACTAATTGCAGTATTCACCAGATTAACTACTGGACTTGAACCGTGAACATCTTATTCAAGCGGAAAATATACAACCATGTACAACCATTGCAGAGGGAGAAATTGCAGCCTTTGTGAATGGATTATGGGTATGTGCATACCTGATTAATCATACTTGTCCTCAACTCTTCAGTAGTGGGTTTGGCTCCTCCTCTCTGCTTATTCTGTAGGAAAGGCAAACATACCACAACAGTAGAATTTTGATTCATGCAGCATCTAAATGCAGTCACGAGACCCATATACATACCCAAAAAAACATACTTTGAGGCTTCATGCACACAATTACACAGACAAAAAGATATTGTCTCATCATTCTTTGCACCATTCCCAGCTGCCTTTGTATTTCAAATGCAAATGTTCACCCACTAATACATTTTTCCTGAAAATAAGTTATCCATTGAATACATTCTGAAAGATAATATGCTTAATTTTAATGGGATCTCACACGATTTAAATAAAGGCCATCTATATAATGATTAAGGCCAAGCAGTAAATTCGCACACTGCGCCATGAACTTGGTCACCTGAGTTTGATTACCAGGCATGGCTAACATTAGTCGAAATTTATATGAAAACGGGTTTGAAGACATTTCCATGGTGGGAATGAGTCTCTCCCTAAATCAATCAGTTGTCTTCCCATCTCCACCCTCCCTGGAGATGAAGGGTTAAATTAACCTCCATCCAGGATTTGAACTTGCAGCCTTTCCAATTGTGAATCAAGCACTCTAGCCGCAAGCACCACCTGGTCAGATATCCACATCTGAGCCTTTTTTACTGTTACAAGAATGCAGCTTAAAACAAGGACACAATCAATGCAAAATAAGAATCATGAAGCACGTCTGATTGACATTTGGGTTTTATGCGGGAAAGGGTGGTAACTGTGAGCTTAGCGCGGATGAAAGAGACCGAATTTGTTGCCTTGGGAAACAATTTTTGGGTGCCAGACAACGGCCATTTATCCGCACACCATGTCCCCATCAGCACCGACAATGTAGCATTGTGGTACACTTATGTAACATGCAGCGGCATGCATACGTGCAGTGCTTGCCTTATATGTTCCCTTTGTGCACGTACCCCATTGACTCACACGTCTACAACAATTGGCGGGACATGTACAAAACTGAGCAATCTTGCCTTTTAAAACCGTCTACGCTACGTGCACGTGTATGTGTGATATGTATCATCGATGCCTAGGAACTATGTTTGGTCTAAAAATCTAAACACTCACTACCACAACCCCTGCACCCCTTGTGATTTGATGAATTGTCATGGTTGATGGTTGTAATTAAATTGAGGAACCGATTGTTTTTCTTCTCATTTTTACTGGCGTGTTTGTAATAGTTTGTGTTTTTTTTTTGGCTCTCAAATGTAGTTAGCTCCATTTAAAAGGTCAGTGATTTCCTTTAGCTCCATTTAAAAGGTCAGTGATTTCCTTTAGCTCCATTTAAAAGGTCAGTGATTTCCTTTAGCTCCATTTAAAAGGTCAGTGATTTCCTTTAGCTCCATTTAAAAGGTCAGTGATTTCCTTTAGCTCCATTTAAAAGGTCAGTGATTTCCTTTAGCTCCATTTAAAAGGTCAGTGATTTCCTTTAGCTCCATTTAAAAGGTCAGTGATTTCCTTTAGCTCCATTTAAAAGGTCAGTGATTTCCTTTAGCTCCATTTAAAAGGTCAGTGATTTCCTTTAGCTCCATTTAAAAGGTCAGTGATTTCCTTTAGCTCCATTTAAAAGGTCAGTGATTTCCTTTAGCTCCATTTAAAAGGTCAGTGATTTCCTTTAGCTCCATTTAAAAGGTCAGTGATTTCCTTTAGCTCCATTTAAAAGGTCAGTGATTTCCTTTAGCTCCATTTAAAAGGTCAGTGATTTCCTTTAGCTCCATTTAAAAGGTCAGTGATTTCCTTTAGCTCCATTTAAAAGGTCAGTGATTTCCTTTAGCTCCATTTAAAAGGTCAGTGATTTCCTTTAGCTCCATTTAAAAGGTCAGTGATTTCCTTTAGCTCCATTTAAAAGGTCAGTGATTTCCTTTAGCTCCATTTAAAAGGTCAGTGATTTCCTTTAGCTCCATTTAAAAGGTCAGTGATTTCCTTTAGCTCCATTTAAAAGGTCAGTGATTTCCTTTAGCTCCATTTAAAAGGTCAGTGATTTCCTGCTCGAATGAGCATTTAGGCAATGCTCATCTCATGTTTACAACCCTGAGCCACTTGACCTTCGCACAAAATAGTACTCATTATTTTGACCCCAGAGGGATGATGGGTTGAGTCAACCCCCAACCAGGATTTGAACTCGCAAACCTACCGATTGCAAGCTGCTCACTGTACCACTTAAGTCACCTGGACAATTAACCAGGTGCACAAATGTCACATGAACATATTATTTGCATACATAATCTTCGATATTTACATGAGCATGTATTTTGAGTATAAAAATATATTATACATCAATTAACCAAAACATGGATCGATATATCAGTACTGAATTACCCACTTGCACATGTCTTCCCATCTGCACCTGCAGTGTCTCTATTAGCTGCAAACTATGTAACAACAAAGATGAATTATTGGCAAAAGCCTAGATGAGTAAAAAGTTTCAGGAGTGTGTCCTGCCATGGAATATGTAGCCATATTAGATTATTTATTCTGTATAGATGGGTCAGAAACTGCTTTCTCTACAGTTAACTATTGTGAAACTCAAACGCAACAGGATAAGCCGAACAAACACAATGAAGCCTGCGTGGGTCCACCAACTATGTCTTTACAGTGCTGACTACTCGAATGCATCACCCATGCCTTCCCATGTGAGTGTAATATCTACCTGTTTATACTATGTGCAAAAATGCACGATTTACAGAACATGCACTGTGTATATCTGCACAGGAATGCTCCAGTGGTGTAATGGTTAACTCGCTGGTTTTGCAATCCAGAGGTCATCGGTTTGATCCCTCGGTGCAGCAGATGACACAATGGACAACTTTGTAAAATTTGAATTTCGGCGGCCTAGAGCCAACTAATTCTAGCTACTGCGGAGGGCTTCTCAGCGCTTTGCGCCTCGCCTGTTGCTCCCACTGATGTCCTCTTCTTCCCACCCCCAATGTGTCCAGATACTACTGACTCGATTGTATGTAGGATGTGTAGGCATATATGACTATGAAAGACATTTCATTTTCTGGAGGTGGCGGGGGGGGAGTGATTTTTGGGGGGGGGAGGGGGTCGACAATTGTTGTCCACTTTCTATAACTTTTTGATTCAGGCCTTCTGAAAGGCTCTTATAATTTAGTTGACGGACAAATGGAATGCTGGGTTTTTTTATAATAGATGCCCATGACTCTTTTAACGTTTGCAGTCTGCACAATACTCAGTGCAGTCTGTGCAAAGTCTACTGTTTGCACAACATGTACCTCGATACAGAGCGTGCACATAGCACAGTGTGCACAGAGCGAAGAAGTAGTGTATCACGATATACGCGTGCAGAGCCTATAACATCTATTCTGCCTTTTGGGTACATGAGGGTTAAAAGCTGGTATAAAACATTTGTTTTATGCTATCACCATCAAATTGCAAAAGATAAACATTCACTGCAGGTTATTAACAATAAACGTATTTTGCACAATGTAATAACCTGACAAAATCTCGATTAGAAGCTTTCATGACTGCAGGAATTCATACTCCCGATTCTTTCGGTAAAGTCATATTGTTTATTTTCCTATCTACGTGACTTAAATCGGACAAAACTTTTGTTAGATTGATGTTAGATTTGAGACCTGCTTCCCAATACAGTAAAAAGCATTTTTGCATCATTGGATCTAAAAGTCATGATTACCACCAGTGCGCTGTTGACGCCACGACATGTTGCCATCACTTTATTCCTACTGCTAGACCCCATGGCTGTTGCAGTGACACATGACCTCCTAGGTCTACTCTTGGATGCTCTATTTGATGACATAATTTTTCAGAGCCTTTTAAAAACCAATGCTGCATGTTAAATGTGTGGAAAATAAAAAAAAGCTCACAATGTAGACGCTGATGTCTCTCCTCCACATACAGCAGCTTTGTGATTAGCGAGGAGATATATTGCGCACACACTACTTTATGTTTATGGTTACCAACAAACGTAAAGCTGGTAAAATACAGCTTTAATCATTGCTTTTAACTCTGCTAATGTGACCGACCACGATGAAGGCTTTAATTAAGTTACAAGGTCACTTGCATGTACTGGCTTTGGAATAATGATCCTAGTGTAGCTTGTAATGACACAATAGCCAGATTAAAATTAGATCCAAGATCAAATAAGGATGCACATGTGCACAAACACACACACACACTGATGAAAATACATTTTGTTGGACCTACATTGTCAAGATGTGGTAGTTTTTGCCCATAACATCAGGGTGCCGTATTACATTTTATACAAAGCAACACTCTTTTAATGAGTCTTGGAAAGTTTAAACCACCTCAGTTTCCTTGTACATCAATACAAATGGTACTAAGAGAGAGTAAGCTGGAGGAAGGAACATTAGTGAATAGGAAAATATATTAAGCATCATTTTCCTCCAGGAATGTAAACTATTGCATTCGCCTTTTTATTAGTTTAAGTGAAAATAAAGTGCAAATGGATATGCTTTTTTGTACGTTTAAACAGATTAGTATTCTGAAGCAGATGGCTAGGAGGTGGTACCATTCTAGACTGTGGGAACAGCACAAAAGGTGAAAGGCAGTGGAGTCCTCACAATGTTGATGGACATATTTATATTGATGGAAGTGGTTTAAAAACAAAGGCAGTAGGGGGAAGCGTTTGAGAGAGAAGACCTTAGGTGAGTGGAAGTAACGTCATAAAGGTTTTGTTAAACGACAGGAGAGTATGCTCGGCCAGGTCTCATTGTGCAAAGATGGAGTGCCCCACTGTGCTGAATGGCATGTCAACACACCCGATACCAGATGAAGATGGCCTTGAAGGCATTCTCGTTGGAGCAGGACCCACAAGCCATGGTCTGCACCTGCCGGAGTCCAGTGGGAGCCACCTAGGGGACAGACAAAAATATTTCTAGATTTGAAGCTTTCGTGACTGCAAGGATTCATACTTTTTGTTTTTTTTTCCGGTAAAGTCACGTAGTCACAAGTTACCTAGATGACTTTACCGAAAAAAACCAAAAAGTAGACTAAAGTATGTTTACAAACCCACCTGCTTGGATGCACAAGCATAAAGGGTCCCCTGCATAGCCGTTGCTTATAAAAGTAATCACCCAGGATGCGTCTGATCTCATCAGATCTTTGAAGCTAGGCAATGTTGTACCTTAATAGTGTGTGGATAGATGACCACCATGCATAAAACAAGTGTTATGGGATGCTATAGGCCTATGTTGTGGGCTGCAGATGGCAGTGTAGCAAAATCAATGTTTGCGTTTTACTATACAGTACTTCCACATGTGCTCCCTGCCTTCAACTCTCATGGACCAGTGCGGTGAAGTATGGTCAAGCAGCCCTCTTGACTGACACTTTTTGGAGACATATCATCCAGCAATGGATTGACAAATGGTTCTACGTATAAATAAACAGCCATAAAGACTTTTGGACATGCGGTGTAAATGAGTACCAATTGAGGCCGGCATGACATGGCACAAGGAGGAGTGGTGTAGCCTGCACCATTATATGGCAAGTGCCATATTGAGCTCGTCAGCATTCCCATCTCTCATGGGACGTCACAGACAGACCATGTGGCTCTAGATGGAGTGATTAAGACTCACTCAGTTTATTTATTAGGTATAGCCCTGTGAGCCATGCGGCTCTTGAGGAACCTATCTTCAAAATCACCATGAATGTGCCCAATCTCATCAGATTTTGAACATGAACCAGGGTTATGCCTGCAAGTGAGACTAAATGGGAGACTGATTGAGAATACCAGATAATGTAGACTAGGGCTGTGTGATGACCAGGAGAATGCAGTACATAATGTATTCTTGAAACGATCTGCTTTTAGTATGAATTGATTTTCTATGTGTTCTATGGGTTCTTTCCATACGCCAAATACTAATTAATGGAATTGGCCAAACACCGCTCATGAAAGAGCTTTGAGACTTAGTCGAGCTTTCCTTAAGGGTATTATTTTGCTCAAGTTTACAGAACAAAAGGTCCCATTTATCATATTTAACAACTGCCGTTGAGTACGTTTCGAATGTGGGATGGAACATCACTTTCCAGTGAAAACTCCACATACTCTTTGAAGAGACCAGTCAAAAACACCTACTTTTCTGACTGCTTCCTCGATACCTTATTGCCCATTCTGGTAAGCAGAATGACTCGCACACATGATCTCAGTGCAATCCACAAACCGTACCAGCAAACCACTGCTCTAGAGAAATCCACACCACTGCTGGTTGTATCTGAGTGTGTGAGTGTCTCATACCGATACTAGAGACTTGTGGAGAAGTTGAGGAAGGTCATGCGGAGGTAAAGCTCCCAGTGCCGGTCGGTTAGCGAATGTGGCCTGCCAACACAAGAAAACATAGAAGCCCCATTGGAACATTCTACTTTACAGACTGCTGGTGCAAATGCCATCGAGGCCAGTATGGTACATACAAGAGTGGTGTGGGCAGAATCCTGTATTGTTGGCCGCCTTTGCCTTCCTCGCTGTGATATTCACATGGTTGAAATGACCTAAATGAAGCACAGTATTGGTTCACATATGACTTTCCAGTGGTGTTGTGGAAATTCAACGTAGGTTGTTTGCTTCATAATAAAGCGATTTAACCAATAAACATTGAACACACATGGACAGATACAACAGCTACCATTAGCTACTAAGTGGCAGTGATATTGCAATGAAACTTGTGCCAAGCTAGGTACACATTAGAGCGTGCGCTAACACACATGGTGCTCACCAGATTTGCAGGATCTTGCAGGGTACGGAGAAGGGCTGGGTGATTGTAACCTGTGAAAAAACAATATTCCCTATACATGTAGTCCAATGTAGCAGTCAATAAAAAATGCATTCCTTTATGATTAATAGAATCCACAGTGCAACAAAGAATTGAGGTCAAACAAGATGTCTCACATCAAGGGATTACCCAGGTATATTTTAATAAATAAAATAAGCTGGCAAAGAGGTGGGTAACATGTATTGACGTAATTAATGAGAATGAACGAAACATCCAGCATGAATGGAGGGAGATATAGCATGTGGTTAGTTTGGCATTTATTATTATACGTGTAGAGATGTACGCAGTGCGCGCAGTTGAGCGGGTGCAATCGAGGACGAGCAGGTGTGCGCGTTGGAGCATGAGGTTGGCGTCGGAGAGACGGGTGATGGGGGCGCTGATCAAGGATTAATGAGTGCAAGAGGTTCCGTGGAGGCTACAGCTTAAGTGGGGAGCACGTGAGGAGGGGTATATAAGCGGGAGTGTGCAAAGGGAGTTGTTCGGGGACCAAGGGAGGCTAAGTCATTCAGAAAACAACAGGGTCTTTCTATTTTAATAGAAGTGGCAGGAATATCAGTTAAGAAGGAAGGCAACAATGTGTAAGGCTGCTTTAGACTTTAATAGAAGCAGGGAACTAAGAGTAATCTTCCATAAAGATGTGATTTATAATACGTGCACATGCGGGTGTATACATATATGTTTCAACAACCAACCACTAGAGTACAGCAAAACACACGTGGGTGTGCATCTGCACTGGTGAATAACTTTTTTCCCTACCCCTATTCCAAGGGGATTTCCTTCCCGTTTTAACATCATCCTTTCGTGTTAACGCCATTTCCTTTCTTGCCAAATAAAACATTTCCTGTTCTTTTCTCTCATTCCTTTTGGATCCCTACAGGGTCCCCACAGGGTTTGTGGATCCCAGGGACATCTTATCAATGCAACTCTAGGACTGCATACCAAGTGGCAGTGATGAGATCTGCATGTACAGGTCCAGCATGCGATTTCCATCCACATCCACCAGGTAGTTGCCCCGACTGGCTGTGTAGTCGCAGAAAAACTGCACGGCCACCGAGTTCTGAGATGTGCGTACACAAAAAACAAAGGTCCCATGTACATCCTACACAGATTTTGAGGGTCAGTGTTGATAGCAACCAACTATTAAAGCTGACACAGCACATAAGGCGGTGGTGTGGCCAGAACCATGTCTGGCTGTTCACACACCGCTACAGGTACTCATGTAAGGCCGAATCGACAGGAGGCCCCGGACCAATTTAGATAATCGCCACTGAAGTTCGACATGGCCAAACATTTTAACTCGGCCCGCTGGTTTTGTAATGCAGTGCACTAACCACACATGCGCACAAAACGAAACAACCTGTGTTCAGGACGAAGACGTCAAGTTTAGATCAACGACCCCTTGTTCAGGCTAAGAAAACTTTGCTCAGAATTACAGGCTATTAAAAGTTTAATGTTGAGCGATCTTGCAGCAGTTAGTTGCACTGCAATATGAACCCTGCAACTAGAGTTTGATTCCCACCCACGGCTAAACTCAGTGGCGAGTGACATCTGAACTGGTCCAGCACATCCTTCGCCAACCTGCACTGGGGGTTGTAGTAAAGTAAAACAAACCCCGTTATTGACAGGGCTTGATACTTTCACCCAGCAGTGGACTGATAAAGACCTGTACATCAAATATAAACGATTAATATTATGTACATTAAAGTGTTTAAATGTCTTAAACGTTTTGCATACCTGAATCTCCCCAAGCTCCTTGGTAAGGACCTGTTATAACACAAACAGAGAGATATGCATGTGTACGCACACATCAGCATACACAAACCAAATAATCAAACACTATTTCAAGCACTATGCACCCAGACTTAATGCAATTGTGAGTGTGTATGTGCGAGTGTTTACCATCCAGGCAGGTCAATGAAACCTCATGAAGCGTGTATCAATATTTGCACAAAGAAAATACAAATGTCCTTTAACAGACTCTTTGGTTCTTTCGGTAAAGTCACGTAGTAGGTATAAAATAAAATAAATCACGACGTTTCGGGTGCAACACAAGCGTCCGTCATCAGGTGGGAAAGCATTGGTCTGCTGCTGAGGCACTGTTTTTAAAAGGTTTGAAACTTGTCAAGGAAGCCCCTGTAGGTCATGTTAATCTGAACCTCACGGTCCAATGCTCACACCAGGAACCAGGCAAATGGAGAAATGTATGTTTGCATGTAATGCCAACTTTAGTTACTTTACCAACACTTGATTATTTTAATAACTTTACATGATTTTTTTTATTTAAAGCTTTCGTGACTGCAGGGATTCATATTCTTGGTTCTTTCGGTAAAGTCACGTAGAAGGGAAGTCAAGAGGACTCAATGTAGGGGTTCTAAACCTTGGATTTGGAGGTAACAACACCAGGGAGAGAAGTAATGCTCATAAGCATGACGAATTATGTTCATGACCTTACCTCTAATCCAGGCAAAATCCCTATTGTGCCTTCAATTTACTACTCGCTGCCTCTAGCCCCAAGGCTCTTGTCATGTGCATGGTGTGTTAAAAGCATGGATGAATGCACAATTTCCCCTCATGTACGAGCACATCTGAACTTTGGAGAATGGTGATGCAGCAGTACGCGCAACGAAATATGATCCCAGTAACCTTAGATTCCTGGTGATAAATATGAGTGGTATGTGGTATCTAAAACTGTCTTGATCTTCCCCGAGGTTAACTTGGCCTAAAATGAGTACGTGATGTGGTATGAACATCAGTATTGATTGGAGACAACGGGCTATGATGCTCACAACACCACTCCCATGTGTGCTGTGACGCACTGGGCTTGATGGGAGCTCACTTACAAACATTTGCATCTACAGTATACATGGTTAAATCAGACTATCTTCATCATGGTATGGGTGTGAACAAATGCGTATAGATTACAGGCACGTGTGCTTACATGTGCATGTTCTTTCATGCGTGCAATCACAAAGAGTAGCCTTATACATTTGTGCACATGTGAAGAATCATGCACATTTTTTACGAGTGGAACGCATGTATATGTTGGTGTGAATTAAATAATGATGGCAACCACGAATACACATACGCTCATAATTTAAAGTGGAACTTATCAACCATAAAGACCTGTGTCGAGGTTTGTAAAGGGTTTGAACCTGAAACCTGATTCCAATATGTGCAATATTGATTCGTAGTTGAAATGTTAACCTTGTATCTCCCCTCCCATTCGTCATCACGAGCTAGAAAAAGCACACATGGCAAAGAAGTCCAAGGTTTAATGCCAATCTAAGAGTTGAACCAATCAATACCAATAAGATACTGGGCTCAAATCCAGAAAGTAATCAGTACTGTAAAAAAAATGGGGACTCAAGTATATGAAGAGATAATATCTCAGCACAGTCACCACTGATTGCACACACACAATGATGTTAAGTTTTGTATCATTTAATTAAACACATTCCATTTATCAGGGCTAATATTTATAATTCATGACTCTTTTAGGTCATATGATGAGCCTATTGAATGAAGCCAAACCTACGGCAATTTAAAGGAACCAAATGCCTGACAATGTACTGTTACGGCCTGTTGTAAATTCTAGTTGTACATTTTTCATTTTTCTCATATGACACCAACAGCTCTATTGAATGCAATTGGAACTTTAAAAAAATCAGTTGCTTGTGTGATGTGGTCAACTGCAGCACTGGGAGGCAAAGATTAGCCAAGTTGAATTAACTGGCCTCAAATTCCCCTCGCGTGTCTTCCAGGCCTCAACAAATGATTGCCAACAGCCGTAACCTCTGAGAACCATTGCGGATTAACTGGGAATCTTGCTATTTGTGCTTTTGAATGAACATGTATGCATGGGAGTGCTGTGCGAGTGCACGCATGGCTTTGCAAGTTATCAACCCAGTTTCTCTTACTTGTGATTTGGGCCCTGGTATGGTCGTCTTCATGAGGGGACCCTCATACTCTGGGAGACCCTGGTCATGGAGCGAGGGAGAGGCCTGAGCCCCCATTGCTCTCCCTGTGGATGAGATAATGCATACACAAGGAAAAAAAATCTCCTATATAGCCTACACAGACTGTGAGGACAAGTCCTGTTGGTGACACCATCCCCTTGTCCTTAGGGGACCACGAGGGGGTGGTGTCATCAGCAAAATGCCTAAGTGGACTTCGTCACCCCCATGCTGATGTTTAAGCACTGCAACAGATACTCATTTAAGGATAAGTTAACCTAGGAGGCCCAGGATCTTTTCAGATACCAATCCGCCAGGTATGTTAGCCATGGCCGGGAATGAAATTGAGGTTGCCGGGTTCGTAAAGCAGTGCTAACCCTCATTAGACCTCCTTTGCCAATACCAAAATATAATAGGGTTTTTCCCCTTTTTTTCTGGCAACAAAACTGAAAACTTTTAACAAGGATTCATGTCTGCATTAACCACAATACTTGCAGTCAAAATGCAAACAAAAAACATACTATGATAATATATGCATTGTCCTTGAAACTGATTGGTCCACACCAAGCCGTCCCAAGCCATCCCTTGGTGTGGACCAATCAGTTTCAAGGACAATGCATATATTATCATAGTATGTTTTTTTTGCATTTTGACTGCAAGTATTGTGGTTAATGCAGACATGAATCCTTGTAAAAAGGTTTCAGTTTTGTTGCCAGAAAAAAGGGGAAAAACCCTATTATTATCAGTGCTAACCAGAGCCACCACTCTACTCAATGCACACACCCACACACATTCGTGTTACTCTTACAGACTGCACTCTGATATATTTCTAGCAACCTAGACGTAATTTCTAACCACACACATCAGTAGCATATGGGCCTATTTGCAAGAATTGCTTACATAATAGGCTGCTCTTGAAGCCCCTATTCACCACCAAGCAGTGGGCACATCACCACGACTCATGTCAAGCTAGGAATACTTTGAGGTCGCTTTAAGTGCCAAAGGCTCGCTGGCAGTAAGTCCAGGTCTTATGGGTTAACTGAATGGGATGATTGGCAGATGCGCCAACTGTGCTTATCGCTGTGCCATCTTATCATAGCCCATGACAGGAAGGACCACACATGCTCCCTCACTTTTGTTGCCCCAGTGCTGATGTAACCCTTTTGGTACAGAAGGGCACCCATTTTACATGAAGTCAATCTCAGAATAATGCCAGAGATGATTGAGATACCCAGTGACAAGACGATCTCGTCCAATGTGGCATAGAATTTAACCTGGGTGGATGAGATTGTTGCAGTGTGTTAACCACAATACAACTGTGGTGCCACGGCCGCGGAGCAACTCTGCCAGTGCCGCAAGTCCCCCCTGGCCCCACGCTGAGCACACACACGGAGCACCCACATGCAGCGCGCACACACACATAGCGTCCTGGCGGGGTATCGCCTGGCGCAACGGGTTTTCATGCAAAGGGTCCCTAGGAGGAAAGTCCCACAGTTTCCCGAGTAGCCCGGGACCATTTTTGCTCTCGTCTTCAACCTCTGGGCCGCCAAGACCCACTCCCTGCCTTCCTGCCTCCTCAAGCCGCTCGCAGCATCCGTGTGATGCCAGCGAGTGCTGCTACGTGGCAGTGATAGGTAAAGTTTGCTCTCGTCCTTCTCCCTCCCGACTCTCACGGCGTCCATACAACGCCGTGAGTACAGCTTCGAGGTACGTGGTAGGACGTTTGAATGACTGGGCACTTAAGGCAGCAGTAGGCTAGGCTCTTCTCGCAAAACATTCCCCCAGGTAGTGTGTATTTGCGCCGCGAATAAACGTTAGCACAGAGCATCGGTGTGGTGTCTGGGATTTGTGTGTGGGGCGACTGCGTGGGAAAACGCACTGCGAGAGTTGACGCGGAGTCGCGGCATGGGCGTGCGGTGAGGTAATCGCTCGCAGGTGTGGGCGTAACGCTGGGCACCACATTAGCGTTGGATGTGGTGCGCGCGCGTGTTAGGAAATAATCGCCCGCAGGTCCGAGAGCGTTTGCGCCCCTGTTTTAACGATAGCTGCGGTATGCACGGACGCTCGTCGAGGTAGTCGCTCGCAGGTGGGCAGCGCGAGCGTGCCACTGTGGGCCATGTTAGCGAATGCGGAGCCGCGGCGCGTGCGCATGTTAAGAGGTAATCGCTTGCAGGTGGGGAGCGCGAGCGTGCTGCTGGAGGCTGGGTTAACGATTGCTGTGGTGTGCGCGGGTGCGTGGGGTAACTCCCTGCGGCCGTGAGACAGCAGTTTAGCTATGTCCCTCAGAGAGGGCGCTAGCGCGGGGGGGCCGATCACCCGGTCGGTAGGGGCCCGGCGGGAGCCGATCAATGCGGTGGACGGAGCCGGAAGAGGCGGACGTTGCGTCCCGCCTGCCCAGCGAGGGCGGTGGGGTGGACGTCGGCCCCCAAACAACCGCTCCACATAACCAGCATACGGAAAGATACACATTATACCATCACCAAAAGTGAATGTTGGTCGAAAAGCAGAAGAGAAATGTCAAATCTACACCACACATAAAAAGCGTAACCCAAAGAGATTGTGGTACTTTAATACCAGTAACCATTTTCACATCATAACAAATGTGTTGAGTGCAAGTCATAATTTTTATTGTGTTAATGAACGCTGCATTTTAATTTTGTTTAATATATTTTCATATATTTTGTTGCCCGAAATTTATTCATTTTCTTTCATTAAAAAAATGTAAATAAGGCGACCTCTTGCCAACACTTTGGAAACCCACATAGCCTTGTGGACCTTATATACCTTCTATACCAGACATGGGCAAAGTACGGCCCCCGGGCCGTATACAGCCCGTTGGGCTTTTTAATCCGGCCCGCCGAACTTGTCCAAATATGATTATTATTATTAAATTAAATTTTACCTTTCTTCTGTAATGCCCCATTCCCCCATTAGATGGCGCACTTTGACTGGGAGTGTGATGTATAGGGCTCGAAAGGGCACATGATCTCGCAATGCATTGTGGGCCATCAGCGCCATTTTCAGGGTTTGTTTACATTGCCGAGTTAGATACGGTGCTCCCTTCACTTTTTCGCTTTGCCCTGCGAGCCCTTCTGTAAAATGAGCGGATCAAGGAAACTAAAAGTGGACAATGAGGGCCGAGTGTTTAACACGGAGTGGACAACAAAATACTTTTTCACTGAAGTCCAATCGAAGGCTGTATGCCCGATATGCCGAGAAACTGCCGCAGTTTTCAAGGAGTACAACATCAGCCGTCACTTTGCTACGAAGCATGCCAACTACGCTAGCAAGCAGTCAACGCAAGAACGGGCGGCTACGGCTCAGAGGTTGGCGACTAATTTACAGACTCAGCAACATTTTTTTCACCGACAAACTGCGATTCAAGAGTCAACTACCAAGGCAAGTTTTTTGGTGGCATTCGAAATAGCAAAGGCTAGCAAGCCTTTCTCCGAAGGCGAGTTTGTAAAATAATGCATGGTACAGACAGCAGACATCTTGTGTCCGGAGATCAAAAGCAAATTTGAAAAAGTCAGTTTATCACGCAGAACTGTGACTCGCCGTGTGGAACCGATTGATGAAAATATAGCCAGCCAATGAAACAAAAAGTCTGATTCCTTTGAGTTATATTCACTAGCACTGGATGAAAGTACGGACGTAAAAGACACTGCTCAGCTCCTCATTTTTATCCGAGGCATTGACGACAGTTTTGCGATAACAGAGGAGTTTTTTTTACCATGGAGTCCCTGAAAGGAAGAACGCGGGGAGAGGACTTGTATAACCAGGTGTCTGCTGTCATCGAAAGAATGAAGCTACCTTGGAGTAAACTTGTCAATGTCACAACGGATGGATCGCCAAATTTAACTGGAAAAAATGTTGGGCTGCTGAAAATAATCCAGAATAAAGTGAAAGAGGAAAACCCTGACCAGGGTTTGGCGCCGATGATGGCTGCCTCAGCCGGTTGGTGCGCCCTGTTTTGTCCAGTTTTGTCGAGAGGGGCCTACTGTTCAGCACACCCGTGCTGGTGAGAGGGGCCTGCTGTTGAGGGGCCTGCTGTTCAGCACACCCGTGCTGGTGAGAGAGGCCTGCTGTTCAGCACACCCGTGTTGAGGGACCTGCTGTTCAGCACACCCGTGCTGGTGAGAGGGGCCTGCTGTTCAGTACACCCATGCTGGTGAGAGGGGCCTGCTGTTCAGCACACCTGTGCTGGTGAGAGAGGCCTGCTGTTGAGGGGCCTGCTGTTCAGCACACCTGCGCTGGTGAGAGAGGCCTGCTGTTGAGGGGCCTGCTGTTCAGCACACCCGTGCTGGTGAGAGAGGCCTGCTGTTCAGCACACCCGTGTTGAGGGGCCTACTGTCCAGCACACCCGTGCTGGTGAGAGGGGCCTGCTGTTCAGCACACCCATGCTGGTGAGAGGGGCCTGCTGTTCATCACACCCGTGTTGGTGAGAGGCCTGCTGTTCAGCACACCCGTGCTGGTGAGAGGGGCCTGCTGTTCAGCACACCCGTGCTGGTGAGAGGGGCCTGCTGTTCAGCACACCCGTGCTGGTGAGAGGGGCCTGCTATTCAACACACCCGTGCTGGTGAGAGGGGCCTACTGTTCATCACATCCGTGTTGGTGAGAGAGGCCTGCTTTTCAGTACACCCATGCTGGTGAGAGGGGCCTGCTGTTCAGCACACCTGCGCTGGTGAGAGAGGCCTGCTGTTGAGGGGCCTGCTGTTCAGCACACCCGTGCTGGTGAGAGAGGCCTGCTGTTCAGCACACCCGTGTTGAGGGGCCTACTGTCCAGCACACCCGTGCTGGTGAGAGGGGCCTGCTGTTCAGCACACCCATGCTGGTGAGAGGGGCCTGCTGTTCATCACACCCGTGTTGGTGAGAGAGGCCTGCTGTTCAGCACACCCGTGCTGGTAAGAGGGGCCTGCTGTTCAGCACACCCGTGCTGGTGAGAGGGGCCTGCTGTTCAGCACACTCGTGCTGGTGAGAGGGGCCTGCTGTTCAGCACACCCGTGCTGGTGAGAGGGGCCTGCTGTTCAGCACACCCGTGCTGGTGAGAGGGGCCTGCTGTTCAACA